TTTTGTGCTGGCGACCAACTATGTACACACTGAACCTGTGCATGTTTGTGTTCCATAAAGAAAACACATGCAAGTGAGTGACTGCGGACACTCGGGCATATTTGTGCTGTAAAACCAAAGGAGGGTTAAGGAAGAATTCCCTATTTTTTGGCACAAGGTTATTCATCACAAAGACCAACTGACCAACAAAGCCTTTAAATTGTTTTAAAATTCAGTACTTCTAATGCTAGTATTACTATAAGTGTTTAGGAAATTGGGGAACTTCATTTTGTGAGGGAAAACGGGGCACATTCTCGTTAGCACCCTGTTCCTATTATAAGGGAACAAATTCTACTTTTTCGAAACAACTTATCTAAACAAGTTGTTGGTGATGTCCTCTTTCACATCAGAAAGAACAGAGAACAGGGCTTTTGGTTTTGAGGGAAATTTTGGGGTAAAACGGCAGTGTACATGACCGCCCTGAAGAGCTGTGAAGGACAAATTAGCGAACGTAGTTTGGTTCCTTGACCTGGATTGAGTTTGTTTTGATGAATCCAAAATGCCCGAGTCGGGTAACCAGACGAAGCACAAAATGGCGTGATTTGACTGAGTGGTTGTCTTTTACAAAACTCAGGTAAAAAATTTGAAGTTTTTTGCTTAGGCCCTAAATATTGTCAAAATTTACCTAAACTAGGCCTGTCAGGATTGAGTAATAATTCATTAAGGTCAAAATGTTAGTTAGTTTGAGAAAGTGGACTTTGTTTCCTTATTGTAGGAACAGGGTGCTAATGGTGATGAACCCGGGAAAACAACTTTAACCCTACATAATACTACAAATTACTACCTGTAGTAAAATGTAGTAATCAGCACTGTCGCTTGTAAGAGGACATGACCTTATTGTTCTCTGAAGCCATAAAATACGATAAGACAATGTACCATACTGTGCTGTGGCACTATGAATGCATGGCTTTATTGTTCTCTGTACGAGTAACAATGGAAGTAACCTAACCAGAAGTAGTAATCTGTAGCGCTAGGTCCTTCAGGCTCAGACTATTACTTAGTATTTTGTAGTACTGAGTACTGTAAGCCAAATATGCTTGGTGGTTTGGGTTAAAAGCGTCAACAGGGGTATTGTAGCCCCACTAGTGTGGCACGGACTCTCGCTACTGCTCTATCCTTAGCCACACATCCGTACCCGCTATTTGCGTGTGGGCGTAGTGAAAAATTTCGGTGCACCCACTTATCATTGTGGGCGCAATTTCTTTTGCACACAGAAATGATCCTTAGCCTCTCCGCTCATCATCTTTAAAATAAGGTCATTGAACATTACTTGACCCCTCATTGTTTCGACAACTGTTCCGTGTCAAAAGAAATTGTGCCTACTATGATAAGTGAGTGCGCCAAAAATGTTCAGTACGCTGACACGAAATTGTGTATACGGATGTGTGGCTAAGGATGGAGCGGGAGTGAGAGTCCGTGCTAAACTAGTAGTAGTAGTGGGGCTAGGTTGAAAGACGGTTTAAATAGCTGGAAAGACAGGTTTGAAAAGTACAGCAAACTCTGTGGCGTTCGAGACACTCGAAACTATGACTGATGGTACAATATGGAATTCTTTCCGAACATTTACACTTTGGAGAAAACATTAACTCTAATCCCTAGGATGTATGTAAAATCAAATCGGAGGCTTGGGAGAAGTGTTAGGGCTACGTATCACCCGTACATGTACATAAAGGTATCAATTTTTGGAAGCTAACTAGCCATCAATTTGATTAAAATCAAGGAAAATAGCACATTTTTTAAATACTTAAATATGTATTCATTACAATAGGGTGCATATTAAACCGGCAGCTATTTTGTATTCGTCCAGATGGTAGTGATTATTTTCGAGTAATTTCTTCCACTCTCACCATTTTGACGGGTTTAGATGGGAAAAGGACGTATGAAGGCGCCCTCTTGAGATCACAAAACATTGATTGTGCGCCCTCTACTGCTACCGATTGAAACACTCAACCAAAAGGTAAACCTCGCGTGTTGGTGTACAGTACCTGCACTGTGCACACAGCTGTGTGCCCCCCCCTGGAAAAAAGGTGTAGCTACCAGACTCGTAATTTCATCTCTCATGGTGAAATTATTTGATCTATCGACAGGATGTATCGCAACGTGGCACCTTTTCCCGTTGCATGTTTAAGTAAATACAACGGTATCGGTTCACTTAGTTTGGTTATTTTTTCGTTTAGATTTTTAGTTTAGCTTTTTTCCCCCCTTCTTTGGTTTCAGAGCGGGGAGGGGGGGTGGATCCCCGGACCCCTGCGTCCACGCCTGGATAAGCCGTTTTGTCTTCTGAAATATGTAGTTTACCAAGTACATAAACCTTTTTGTTAAAGAAATCCACCAAAGAAAGGTAAATAAAATGTTGAGGACATCACTCGCTATCATTAGAACGATGCACTGTTTGGGCTGAGAACTTTCCTCAGTGAAACAACTAAGCGCCCTCTACTTCTTAAGAAATTATCATTGCTCAATGTTTTTTGCACCTAGCCAGAAACAAAGACACTTATAGGATACTCAATTTAAAAACAAGTGAGAAGTATGCATAATGCACTTTGCCTGGTTTATTCATTCATCTATATGGCAACATCATGGGTTTTGTCGTTTAGGAATTTTAATTATTTTTCGACCGACCGACCCTCCCTCAGTTGAAAAAAGATACGAGAACCGTAGAATAATAAAAGCATGCCCTTACCCACAGTGTCAGACATACAGGCGCCTTTTCTGACTACCGGGTATTTGCACAGAAAGTTCAGACTGTCGTAAAGGGGTGATCATGGTATTAAAAAGGAGGCCTGAATCCTGTAAGGGGATGAGTATAAGATGAATACCTCCGAAGGAACTGATATGCTGCACGTGGGCTCATTATAGGCCACTTGTAATGATATCGAATCCTTCAAAATGCTTCACTTCGTAACCTCTGCTGTTAATAAAAACAACAACTTTTGGTGTTATCAGATGACAGTGACACCCAAATGTGTTATTTTAACACCACTGGTGTAACTTTATACACTTACAATTGTTAGAATGCACTGGATGATGCTAATAGTAACACCAACAGTTTTGAAATAATACCCAAAATTTAACACCGGTGGAAAGTGTGGGAATAGTCCCTTGATAACATCGGACTTTTGCAGCGTTCCCTTCTCTCCAGTATTACTTTCTTGCAGCTTAGACACGTTCAGGTTTGAATGGGAAGTGTACGGTGCGGTGACAAGTCTTCAATGTGCGTCACGAGCCCACTGTACTTTGTGCGGGGTTCTTAAACTGCCGTGGCACGTGACAGGTTTTCGAATGGTGTGCAGTTCGACACGAACGACTAAATGTTTACAGGGCTTCCGTAAAGTTCAGGTAGCGCTATTTCAGGAGGGTGCAATAAAGTGAACGTGAATACTGTTATGTTGAGGATTGTCATGGACGGATCCTTGTTTCTACAGAGGTGCTAAAAACCTTGGTGGATTCAGCACGGCCAAGCAGAACCAAGATCCCGCGTCGGAACTGTCGGTATTTCAGTGCGTAGATCACCGGGTTGATGAACACGTTGGCTGCCACCAGTGCCACGGAGAAAACGTACAGGGACCCGTTGAAGTCCAGTGACCACCAAAGTTAAACATGAAGAAGATGATCTTGTTGGGCGTCCAGCACACCACGAAGGAGCAGAAAACGATGAGGAGCGCCTTGAAGACGTTCTTGCGGGCGCGCACGAGTGACCCGGCCCGGCCGTGCTACGGCGTAAGCCTAGATTGCCAGCCAGTTCAGCTGATGGCCCGACCTGATTAATGCTTCGCTTCAGTACCAGCGTGATGTGAATGTAAGCATACAGCATCACAGTAACTGGCACTGCGTACTCGGACAGAAAGAGTAACAAGCCAACGATTTGTGACCCAGCAACTATGAGGGAAACACACGAACCCATGCCGTCGGACCGTAAATATACCAAGTTGTAAATGGAGTCGACCAGGCCTAACATCCAGACAAGCACAATGATTAGCACCGCCTTCTGCCTGGTAAACAGGGCATGGTGTCTAAAGGGGAACACTATGGCTACATATCGCTCCAACGTCAGAGCGACAAGGCTGTAGGTAGAAGCAGCGAAGAACGCCCAGATGAAGAACTTGGAGTACCAGACCCGGCAGTACAGCTCACCGGCCAGTCCAGACGGGACCGGTTCCGGCCGTCCGGCGTTGGCTTCAACGAGCGTGAATACCGATCCCATGAAGTCGATCGCGGCCTGATTGAAGATGAACGCGTTGGTCAGCGTATGCATGGTGTGGACTCGTCCGATAACAACGCACCCCTGTCCGTTGCCAAGCAACCCGCGCTCGAGCGTGGATGAGACAGTTTGGATAACGCGCAGAGCAGCCGCTACGTCCATCACTGCACCGGAATTACATGCCAGGCTGTGACGCAAAGTGAGGGCACAAGAGCTTTTTATCATTGCATGCTGCTGCTCTGCCCATGCGCATCTGTCGTGAATAACATCACCGCCACAGATTTGATGCGTTCGATCAGTGTCCTATGAATAAAAAGAACTGACAAACATGAGGTTGTAGACCAGTGACCAAGCTACCTCAGACAACAACAAGTGCCCGCACTTTAAAAAAGCAGGAAAAATCTAGTCATCTCATCTTTCATTTTCTTTCAGTGTTTGGTAATTTAATATAAACGTAACATCAAAAATCATGGTTAACTTAAGATTAGAAAATTAAAATTTATTAGTGAACTGTGGGTATGCTACACCTCTACGAGTTTCATGTGACATGTAGGCATCATACGCGCGCGCATGGTATATGTAAAATCACGGCTGTGATTGGTCAGAACAAAACAGGGCGGGCTTAATGGATCAGTAATGAAACGATTTTTCCCGTGCACGAAATATTGTGAAACTTTTAAGTCTGTTAAACTCCTGCAATCGAATTGCGCCAAGTAGTGTTGAAAGGAATGCCCGCCTAAGTATAAACCGAAATGAATTTTGAACGACAAAAAATGGAGAACAATGCAGAGATGTCTTAAACTATCAAACAGAAGGCCCGATGATTGTCCATGACAGCATAGTGTATACACTTTCTTTCACCATGTCACAATCGCTCATTACAAATGATTCAGAAACTCGATATGGCCTTTGTGAGAGCGAATACTCATCGTTTCCCAACTCAATACACGTACATCGAAAAAATAAGTCAAGAACATCTTAATTTTTTTTTAACATCAGAAGATTGAGAATTGATCCTTAAGGGTATGAAGAGTATAGTCATCTCCATTTACTGATTACATAATGACATCTAAAGGGACAAGAAACAACGAAAGCAAGAGGAAACGGTGGTTAACTTGGGCCGGAAGAGAACCAGACTTTTATTTGCCTCTAGGTGTGTTTTCAATTGCTCCATGAAACAGAATCTTAGGACTTTTGATGGGGAATAAACATTAACTTCGATATATATCCGATAAATGAGCAAAGTTTAAAAGTTGACATAAATTTGTCGATTTTTGGGTGGGGAGAATCGCGTGATTTTCCTCTTCTGCAATGTGCTCGCTACAAAATAATGGCTATCACATTATTTTTTCTGCTGTTGGGCATCGAAATTATGTGTAAATCGATTTACCAAAAACTGATGATAATCTGACTCTCAGTGTGTTATATTCCTCTCATTTTTTATTGGCCCGGCATATTTTTTTCTGTGTCCAATAAACTTCTATCTGTCCCGATCACCAAGGTCTATAGCCACAATGACTCAAACAGCCAGCCTTTGGTATTTCTTATGACGTAGGAAATAGAGCTTGGGTTTTGTTTGATGGTTCGCATACGTGTTTTATGTAAATGTCCATGAAAGGTGCGTGTCGCTGCTCCGAGTGCCATCGCTCTGAATGATCAGACTATCAAAATATTTTCCCTCTCCGTTCCTTGTTAAAGGTTAATTAATTGAATAACGGAGGCTGTCTTTGAAAAAGCCATGATGCGTCTGTTTTCTACGACAGACTTGACCTGGGATTCATGCTTTCCAATCAACACAGCCACTGTGAATTTCTATAAAGAACTTTGCTACGGGAGTTGCAAGACACTTGCCTAGAGCGTTTCCTTAATTGAAAAAAACCACAAGCGAAGAAGAAAAGAATTTTGTATTTAAAGGAACCATAGAAAAAAAAACAACAAAAACAAAACTAGCCAAAGGCAATCGAATAGGAAAATTAACAGAAAAACAAACAAAATACAAAGCTGTTTCGCCTCGAAATCGAACTGGGATGACGATTGTCCAAGTCGCACGCAACCTCAATTTTCTGCCACCAAAGCTTGTATGTTCAGGGTGTCAGCAAGTAGAACATCACCTATGCACAAAAGAGTCAAAGTAAAAGCGCATTCCTCGAAAGAACTTGATTTGGAAGATGTGAAAATATACGAGAATTAGAATTAGAATTAGCAAGAGAGTTTGACTGAGGCACATACAGTCGTTTGTTACCTAGTTCCTTGCCGAAGACCTCGACTTCACACATGCTCAGTGGCATGCTGCTGCTCCTAATGAATACGTAGCGACCAGTCACGTCAGGCACGCAGTCAACCAATAGAGGGCGATGTTCCAGCAGATCCCCAAACGCGAGGGCGCCGCCACATGGCTCAGCCGAAAGCAAGAAAGCGTTGTCTACATCACTGACGACAACAGTTGCCCCAGTCATATCAGTCCCTGCATAGAGTAATGTCTTCATAACGTTAATGCTAAGCTGATAACATCCACACCCACGACTGACGAAAGTAATAACACATTTTGGACAACTAACTGACTCAAGGCGGTCATTGATGAAGCGTGTGATATGTAAAAAGGAAAGAACTCTTTGGCCGTGGCCACACTCTCAAGCAGTTACAAACAGTAGTTTGCTTCTAACATGCAAATTCTTGATTCTAGATTCGGATTTAAAAAGAAAGGAAAGAGGAAGTACAAATAATCCCATATGGCCCTATATTTTAAAATAAGTTGACTCTTAAAACCTTCACCTGCCCCGTAGAAACATACAACTAACAATGCAGTTTTACCATTGATTAAATAAATAAAAGTAATCAAAAAGGCAATGACGAGCATGTAAGAAGGCGTGCGTGAATTAAACAAAGAACTCTAAAAACTCACACTGCTGAGGGTCTGGGAATGGGCTGATGATTACCATAGTCACAGTGTGAAGGTCTCCCAGATCTACTCCCCACCAAGAATAGCTGTTATCGCCTAAGACACGGAAGATATGTCCACTTAATTGTTAGATTACACTCGCAAGCTACTCCTCCTGTAAAGGAACGCTATCACAATATTGGATTTTTCTTTTAGTTTTAACTATAATTTTCCTAGCCTCGTTTTGGGGATTGGAAAAATGAAAAGAGTTTACAAGAGTTTTGAATGTGAATATGTATTTAGGAGCAGGTTGTGTAATCGAAAAGGTGACTCTTTCATAAAAAAAAGAAAGAGTCACGTTTTTGAAAGTTATAGGCTTAATTTTCATGATTTGCTCTACGAATGCTATGTTTTGAATTTGAAATTTACTCAGTTAGTCAGCACTTCTTTATCCAAATTCTAATCTCTCTCCAGGTGCTAAGCACAAGAGAATATTAGGGGCCAAGTAAGTACTTTACCAGTTTGGCAGCACGTAAGATCCGCCCTATGAACGCCTATTTGACCGTCCACGCAATGCGAGGCGTTTCGGGTCAACACACTGCTTTGCCAGGTAGGCTGTCCCCTGAGCGTTGGATTTCTCCCTATATGGAAATTATCGGTGCAGTGGCGTAAATTTGTGCTGGAATTTGGGCGGATGGAGGATGGGAATTTGTAGGGGATGACATGCCCGGCTATGGAAATAATAAACGAGGGTGTGACACCATATGACATTATATGTAGGGGTGATGTTTATGATACAGATGTACATCTGTGATATGTATTACATTCAAGCAGAATCTTACATGAGAACCGAGGAATATTTATGGCTTCTAAAAAAAATCTTGTCAGCAAAGGTTAGATAAAATGTTAGCATCTTTCGTAAAAGTAGATTAGGGCTTTAGGTTTCTGTCGTTATAAATTAACAAAAATATTTGGAGTTGTTTTTTATTTTGGCTTTCACTGACAGACTACACGATAAAGTTTCATCCCATAAATATTCATCTCCGTATGAGACCGTCGAATTACATTTTTTTTCATGTACTTTAGATTTTCGGAAGTGACTAGTCAATTTTGGCAGGATAAATAAATTGATATGCTAGCAAAAAATTGTTTTCCAAAGGCCTGTTTCCGAGGTGGATATTTTAAAGAGACTGAACGGAAAAATGTTGCAAATTCTAACATTTCTGCACATTATTTTTCATCTCCAAGGGTTCCCGAAGCGTGCCACCAGGGGTGAACCTTCAGACTCTATACCGATAATCAGTTAATGACTTAGGCCGTGTCCGAAATGGGCTTCCAGGGCTACGGCTAGGTCTGTTGTCTACGCTTCTCCACGCATTTCCAATGGAGTGAAGACCTTGTTCTAGCTCTAGACAACAGATTCGGATGCAGCCTCAGTTTCAACGAAACCTGACCTACCTCCGTCTGCAACAGCATTAATGCCACAGAATCCTAGGGTACCGTACGCTCCGTCTATGCGCATGCTCAGGTACTGGGCCGATGGCAAATTGGCGCAGAAGAGGGTGAGACTGGTACCCTCCTCAGGTGGGTTTTGCACTGGTAACCCACACGGTGTTCCTTCATCAATTGATTGAGTGACACCGACACGAAATTGTGCACCAAACAGCTCGGTCTCTGCGCCGGTGATATAAACATTAATTAGCCGTTTAAAAAGTGGATGGATGTTTGGTACTACTAGATTAGACTTCAGGCTTTATAACAAAAATATCCAATCATCAATGACAAATATGTCTGTTTTTGGAAAAGCAGAAACGATGAGGGTTTTAATCTGCCAAAGTTACCCCGGTTGACGAATACTTACTTCCTTTTCCTGGTGCGCAACCCATGATGGTTATCTCCTCGATGGAAAACTCTTCTCCTAAATCAACCATCCACCACGGTTCAAATTCATAACCTACATAGTTGGGAATGATACAAGGGACGAAAACGATTACCACAGGAAACAGTATTGTGTATTCTGTGATCACATGATTTCCATATCACATTTGCTTACATTTCAGTCAATTTCCCGCTCGCGTTCACGAACGTTCCTGCTAGCTTACTTGCGCATTTGAAACATTTCCCAAAGCTGTCAGATCCCGGCGTGGAAGCTTGATTGAAATTTGACCGTCTGCTGATAATCTGTAAGCCTGTTTTGGTGATTTGGAGTGAAGGTCGACATTGTATGTCTTCGAATCAGTGTTCTTCGGTATCTATCAGGACGCTCACCCATGGACTTTATCGACGATATATGCCATTTTGGATCGTTTCCGCCCTAGATATTTTTCGTAGGACACCCTGTCCAAATTGGAAGGAGCCTGACCATTTTGCTGTAATTACAGCCGTAGCCTGTAAATTTTAGAAGCTTAAAAGGATGCATAACTTTTTTTGTTCATGAATGACTTGTTAGAGCAGAAGGACATGGTAAACTATAGATACAATTTGTTCCAAGTGGAGTATTACATCATCCTCGTTCCCAACGGTATTAAGTTGGAAAAACTGTCATAGGAATAGCTTGGATTTCGAATCAAGATGGCCGACTGGTGAAGAAGGCCAACACACGAATGAATAGTACCTGTGCTTGTTCTCGACGAGGAGTCTAAATCCACACCATACTCGCCAAGGGCAGGGCCTGCGGTTGAGCTCTGACTGACCGGTCGATCGCGGGACAAAAGACCTATTAATACACGAGTAAACCTGTTTATAGTGTAATTCGACAACAAGAAATTAGAAGCCATTACTGTGGTGGCACAACGTTCGTGGACATGTGGTATGCGCGCGTTACATGCCTCATCGACCAATAGGATGTCGCGATTTCCCAAATGCAAGCGCGAGTCAAGCTGAAAAATGTGCGTTAGTGTGGTGCCACCGCAGTTATGGCGTCTAATCGGACTAGGCTATGGTTGCACTACACCAAATAGGCGCCCATAGAGAACAGTGCAAAATCGGACCGAAATAGTGCCGACTGTTGACTCTCGTAAAGAGGTTGGCCTCCGTTTTTTCAATGGAAATTTAAGATTATGGCCAGAAGAGCACTTTTCGTTTCAATTTCATGGGGGTTAGCCACGACAAAAAATCTTTTTCTTCGCCTTTCAAGGAAGATACCCCCAAAATAGCCGTTAAACTAAGCGCTCATTTCTGAATGTAGCCGCCCGCCTCTATCCAAAATAGGCCCGCAATTTGGGACTTTTTGTGAAAGAAATACCCCGAACTGGAAACTATCAGTCCCAAATTCGGGATTTATAGAAATATTTCTATGGTCTGTCTTATTGTAAAAATCCCGTGTGATCAGAAAATAGTAATGAGCTCGCGCGCAGAAATACAACGATTTGGTGGAATGCACCCTATAAGATTTTGCCATACATGCCGAAATCATCTCTTATCAAAAGATTTATCAATATGCTCATGTGTACCTCCTATCTCAGACATCCCGTAGGCCTACCATTGGAGAAGCTCTCCATTTCTGATTTGACACACCTCAAAAAAATGAAATTGTAACGAGTTCACATGTAAGGCTTTTCCAAGATGTGATTCTTCATCTAGATTAACTCACCCCTGTCCGTCCAGTGCACTTTCCCTTTTCTCCCAAATGCTATCACCGGGAGGTTTCCTGTCAGCGACGTTTCTGACTCCTCCGAGCCGTCACCAGGGAGGGCCCATCTCAGCCAACCCTCGAAGGGATGCATTCCTCGAAACTCGGCCTGGATACCAAGTATCTCGCCCCTTCAAAAGAAGTCACAAGAAAAAGAAAAAAAAGAAGAACGGATTTCATAATCTGGATTTGGTTTTTATATCACATCCATTAAGGATGCCAGGGGGAATACTACATTGCGTCTGGGTTTTGCCGAAGACTTGTTTGTTTGTCTCAGTGACAAACAACTGAGTTATCGAGCGTATATCGACCACTGGCCTGATTATGAAGTCACAGAATTTAAAATGTGAAATCAGTTCGCCCTTCAGACTTAGGAAAAGCGCGGGGGCTCGGGTCATCGTTGTGAATCACCCGGAGTTGAGAGTCAAGACGAGGTAGCTCACAACCGAGTCCTTACAATGAGTCAGTCATACTGCACTCACACAGGGCTCGGAAATAAGAACCGCTCTATAAAGCCACGCGATTACATGCTGGTATTACAGGAACCTATGTATCGTGGATCCTGTCTTCAGGATTGAACTAACGCTATACCCTTGAGAAGCAAATTAAGTCCCTAATCCTTCTTGCGATTGGCCCGTCTATTAATTGAAGGAATATCATTTTAAGGCCGCAGTGACCACACCCATTGCCTCATCTTTAATATCTTAGTTCATGGATAACTGTATGAAAAAGGACCGACCCGTTTGCCAGCCAGTTCAAGCTGAAGATAGGGTCGTCATGCATGTCTGTCCAAGGGGAGCTCAGCAGTCGTGCGGGTGTGAACCAGGAGGTCGAATTACAGTCCCTCGCGTCAAAGAGCAAACTAAGATGTTGCCCTTTACTGGAGTTGCTTCCCAACGAGATTCTAACCTGGAATTCAAGTACTTGCTTTAAAAAGTTGCCACAGACCCAGTTTGTATGATATCATGATCCAATCCTTTTAGTAAGATATGATGTACAATACAGAATGTTCCAATGCATTAATGAAGCAACTAATTTTTTTTTACAAAGGCTCATGATGTTTTCGCGAGTTCGTAGATATGTATTTGTCATACAAAATGAAAACAACTTAACTGACTTATCTTTAATACGTACCAATGATTTTCAGTAACGTCGTTATATTAATAAATTTCGTGCATGTTTACAGGCAATGCTAGTATTGCACCATATTAGGCGAATATTTGCGGTAAGTGTTAAAAGACGTGTGCGGTAGCCTTTCATGATACCTCTTGTCTCGGGGGCAAACCTTTGAAAATGGCCTTCGGACTTAATGTGACACTCTTTGAGGACTGTCTTGTTGATTAACACAAAATTGATAGCCTGCTCATCTTACGATACTTCACTTGGCAATCGCAAGGGCGGATCCAGAGCCGATTTTGGGGGGAAGAGGGTAGTTTTGGGGGGAGGGCCAAAAATTTGGAAATTATTGCATAATGTTACCGCCTTTCTGCAGGGTGAGGCTCCATTTGCGGGCTTTTGACAGCAGTGGTGTAACTGCCCTTAGGAAAAAAAAAACACGTGGGCTCACGTGACCCTCAGAAATTTCACCCTAGCAATCCTACGAATAGTGATCACGCGTGTATCTAATCTCTGACATGGTTGAAAATCATATAATCGAAACCTTACCTCTGTTATGTTGGAGGATATCCACTGACCCAACACGTCACGGTCTCTCTCAATGGTGTTTGGTTTGCTGCGGTCGTAGTGGAGCAGCTGAATCCAAGTACTGCCAGGCGACGTCGGCGACGCAGAGGAGGTGCCCGGCACCCTGTGGAGTGTGGGATCTGGGCGAGTTGTTCCTAGAACAAGTTCCCTTGGGTTGACTGCAGGAGAGATATTCATTTAAAAACCAGAATTTCGCAAAACTTATTCTAAGTACCTCCCGAATCCTGAACACTTATACCAAACACCAAGCAAAACAGAGTCAAATTGGTTTTCACGCAATCGAAGAATTTGTTCTATTTTTTTTGTAAACTGAAATATCAGGCTGAAGGAGGGGGGGTCGGCTGAAAATGATCCACAAAAAATCGTATCATTCTTGATTTTATTTAAAGACTCACTTCTGAATAAAAATATGCATTTGCAAAAGAAAATCTGCTGGATGTGAAATTAGATTAGATAGGAAATACTATTTATGTGACACTATTTTGTCTGACAGTTTGATATGATAGAGATCGCAAAGCCATCAACGATGTGAAAGTCAAGTTGCAGTCCCCGTAATGCTACTCACACCAGAGTTGTGTCTGGAAGACAGTCACCGGCAAATTTGGTATGTGTGAATGCGCAAATGACTGACGCATGACAACTTTAATGCATTGGAATTCTATGAAGTAGCGTGTACAGAGTTATAACTGAGTTCTGAGTTGTCGAGTTGTCGTCGGAACATACGGGTTGCTCCTGACGCGGAGCACATTTTTCTCGGGACTGAAAAAGAGTGCCGACGAAATAAAAAGTAGAACTTTGTAAAGGTCCGATATCTGCAAGGGCCCCATGTTTTGGTCTATGCGAAATAATTCTCAAAGGCTGCCATGAGAACTATCACAAAGAGAACGTAGAGTGGCAGACACAAAGGTTCAAGAAGAGAACAGATGGAATACGCCGAGGTAGGAGAATGTCATGTCTGGTTTTTAACTTATAATTACGACTAATTTGAATCTTCATGGGCGGATGATATTACCGAACCTCGTCAATGTAAACGTTTTCAGACAATCATTGGTTTCGCTCAGTCCATGCAATTCATTGACAACTCAAGCAAAAAGCTGACGAAGAAAAAATTGACTTGTACAAACCACATTTAAAATGGCTCCTGATCTCTTCCGGGTCATCAGAGACAATAGGGTATTGTGTTTGCATGACGGGCTGGGTGCGATGCAGCACCGGTGCTGCGTTTAACCCACCCGGCAGAGTGACGGTACACTCACAGGGGTCCTTTACTCGAACTGTGATCCAGCGCGTACGCATATTTGTGTCAGGCTCGTTACCAAGGCTACAGACTCGGGCCTCAATAATGAATGCCGCAACTGTCAGAGAGAACAAAATGACAAATGAAAATAACAGTCAAATTTGATAGCAAGTATGCACAAAACGTGTAATTTACCAGCATTTGCAGCTGCAAAGGACCAACAAATAGGACAACTTTCTGAAGCCAAGGTAAAGATACAAATCAAGTCAATAAATATCGTGTCCACGCAAGCACAGACCTAGTTGGAAAACTCACCTACCAGGCCGCACGCTATCGACGTTAACGCCATTACATCATACATTGTATGCAGTGGACTGGATTTCCCTTCCAAGAAATCTAAATATAAAAACAAACATTGGAGAAGAGATTAATGGATTAGTTACAAGAGCTTTCAGTAAACAGCGTCTGCTCCACTTTGCACTTTCTGTAGCAAAAACTAAAAGAGACACTTTACATAAAGCCAGTAATCTTGAAAGAAACTCTTATCACGATCGCAAAGCATTCAGTAAATTGCTTCAACTCACCTGCCTGCTATACAAAATGTGTCAGTGTTGGAGCTCGTCTCATGTGTGTTGACTTCCACTGTCTTGGTATACCTTATTTTGTGTAAAGCAGGCCTTGAAATTGTGCCACTAACATTCTACCATTACCGCGACCTTTGTACGGCAGTACAATGTGAGGAATCGATAACTTTTTGTTTCATCCTTGGGGGTCTTTAGGCAAGAGCAAATCAGTTCCAGCCTTAGAATGAAACCTCGAGCCCAGCGGAGAATTGATTTCTTCTCTGCTAATTGTTGCTTCGAAGGTGATGCATTTAAGAGGGTTAAGCCTTGGGCTCACTCGGCATGGCAACGAATTCAACCAGTTTTTGTTAATGGCATCTTTTATCAGTGAGAAAGAATGTAAGATTTCAATACTAGTTAGACACAATTTAAAAATGTGATTCAACAAAGAACTCAGCTTATGGCGAAACTCGTTTGAGTCGCCTACCTGCAGCAAATTGTATGAGAATCCAACGTCCGTTATGTCAAAGTGAAGCGTTTCTGTTTTCAAAATAATAGACATTTCAAGTAAAAATTGGTGCTGGAATTTAAAATTCATTTAGAAATTTATTTTAAGCTTTAACACACTGTACAATAAAATAAAGTGTAATTCAGTATAACTGCATTGAAAAGGTAAATAAGGTTAATCATTATTCCAATGAGCCCCGAGCTGGACCAGAAAAGGAAAAAATTTTCTAAGCAACGAGACCCTCCTTTGGTCAAAACTGAACTTTGTTCGTTCAGAAACGACTGGAAAAAGCAAGCCTTACGGTCGCATAGCTAGCTACCCAAACAATGAACACTCCCGACCAACATGGCTCTTTTCAACCGATGAGGGGGTGCTTCTGCTCAACGCCGATAAATTCAGACGTATCTGCATCGTACGGTTGTAATACAATGCCATTTTAAATAAGTTTGATAATCCGTGGGGCACGGCGCTGAAAAATTTTAAATATTAGGTGTTGTCTTAATGATTTTCCAATTTTGTTTTGTTAGGCATTAGGCCTACGAGGGCGGATCTAAGTGTACATTTTCGGAAAAAATTTCACTTTCGTATAACCTTTATGGCTTATCTGAAGCGTGAAGCTAAATTATGGGGACTTAGGCATGCTCTAATTTGGACGGGGAGGAAGAGAGATGAAATACTCCCAAAGTCGTCCTTCTCTCTTTACGAGTAAAAGTACGTCACTTTTTGGGGGAAGGGGGGTGGCAACATTGCTCTTCCAAAGAAATCTCGAGGTACTGTTTGTGACAAAAACTAAAAGGCGTTTGAACAGATGAGGGTAAAATAGAGGGAAAAACGCTGGACACAACTACATTTTAAGAGCTGACAGATTTCTGCCAAGCATGCAGTCTTTGCCGAATTTCCAAATTTTCCTGCATGAAAATCCTCGCTGAGCTGTTCAAGAGATAGACAATACAATGAAACAGGGGACCTGTAGGATATTTACAAAAGGGTCCCTGGAAATAAAAACGTCCCCAGGGGTAATATCTTGTCAAATAGAATAGAATAAATCAGCAATACAATCTTTGGTCACGACAATATAGTCTCGTATTTGTGATTAAATTGGCCTGATATAGACGAACAATGACGCTGGGGGCAATGAAAAGGGTAATTTTACTTGGGCCTAACGTTTTGCTCGTCCATATTCCATGAGGCATAACCTGAGTTTGGATCCAGGAAGATCATTGTCGCAGACGACGATGTAACTCCTCAAGAAATAGAGAGTATCGGTCTACCATTCATCGACTATGTAGAGCGAGGAAGCCTTGTGAGGAAAGTCGTTAGTTGGCCTTTGTAGCATTAGATAGGCCGTGAAATTTTTATTGAGTCAGTTTTAAAGGTTAGATCCACGAGGCCGAAGCAAACCTTCAACTCAACTAGTGCTTAAATTGCTTGGTTGATTTATAGAGGTTATTTCTGGTAGAAAAATGAAGGTTTATGCAAACTCCAAAGTATTTGATAAACAGCCATTTTTCGTGACCATATCCTTGATAAGTAAGTTTTCGTGCACATTGCAATTTTGAGCCCTAATTCTTATGTGGATTTCGCTGAGCCATTACACAAAGACATGCGGCATTTTGTTTTATACAACATCAGGGGCGTAAATCCCACTGGTGGAGATATGTATCCTCCAACACTCTGATGGGGGGAGGGCGGTGGGCTATGGACTCATCCCCCATTTTCGGGGTATAAGAAAAGAAAAGGCGAATTTTGAGGAATTTTTCAAACTTCTCAACGACCAAAATGTATTCATTTACACTGAATTGGGAGGAAAACGAAAATTGCGCTATTCTTAGGTAAGATTCGGGCTTTTAAGCATAACGGTCTGAATCATAAACAGCGCCCCCTAGTGTTATATGGAGTCGCCCTCCCTCTCCGCTTTTTGAATTTCCATAGCCGGGGCTTTTTTTAAATTTATATTCATCCATTCCCCGGTCCGATCTCCGACACCAATTTACGCCACTGTACCACCCCTCGTGGCACAGTGCATTCAGTGTGTGTCTTCTCCTGAAATTATTCTGACCAATGCACTCATGATCATTATTTTACTACCGAAAAAGAAATCATTTGGGAATGGGGCCAGGCATGCAGGGCAGCAGAAACTTCGTGCGGTTGTCTTGGGACCACATGCTTGCGCAGCTCGTACCAAGACGTAACAGAAGGACTGGAGTCAACCTATGAGCTAGGAAGTTTAAATAACCGTGTTATTACGCTCGCACCATGTATTCAATACACAACCGACGGTAACACACCGTTTCAGAACGCGAATAGTTTACAGTGTAATTACATTTGGTAGTTTATTACGTTTGATCAGTAAATATATCCAAAAGTGAATCAAATACTCTGTCCAAAGTTAGAACTGTTCAATATTTACAATCCTGTTATATATCTCATAATTAAATAGAGCTCTGAAAATTTACAGAAATTATTGTTACAGAAGTTAATTATCATTTAAATTTATGCTGAATTTTAACATCACAAGGTGCAGTACATTATATATTTTCAGTGTAGCATAGCCATACCATACATCAAAACTACTATCAAATTTAATTATCATCAACTTCAATAGGAAAGCAGAGCTCTGATAGCTTAATGCCATGCATGCAAACAACAAATAACATTTTCGTAGAAATTACTCACACATTTTTTTAGAACTTTATAGGTTCTACCCGCCAATTTTCTGTCTGTTGATTACCCTTCCCATTTTGCTTGGCAAAGGCAAGATTGTTGTCGTATATGGTCCCCTGGCAAATTTAAACATCAAACGCACGCAGTCCAGTCCATCTTACATTATTCATTGCTGACGAGAGATTCAACTTCCATCAATGTTTGACATTATGTCAAATGTCTGAACACTGCACAGCAGGTGTGTAGTCTGATATCTACCAGCCAAAACCATTCAATGCACTTCCAAAACCTACTGTAAAACATCCTGCTGAACCGTATCGGGAGTGTTAGAAGACTACAGAAAGCAAATGGCAAAATTACAAGAGAAACAATGGACTAGGATGCGAGACCAAATAATTTTCTAAACGGATATCTCTTTATATTTAGAAAAACCTTCATCCCCTTGTTTTCTTTACCAGTAGTTTCTTTACTGACGAAGTGATTTGTTTACATTGTTTTCAAAGCTGGAGAAAGCGAGATTGAAATGAGACAAAAAGGAATAAATTTTAGATGGACAAGGAGATGACAGTATGCGAAATATAGTCCAACGGGCAAAGAAAGGGTCTACCGAACCCCATTAGAACCAAACAATTTCAACTGCATTAACCGAAAATTGTTACTTTAATAAAGAGTGAATGGAATTCGATAAAACAAAAACATTTTCTGTAAAGATATAACCAAATTTAGCAAACAGTTATACATTACGCTTTAGAATTATCACTCATGCAGTTAAAATACCTGTCAACGAGAGCGAAATTTTGCCGCAAACCGTTCGTGACGTCAAATTGGCTGCGCTTTCACATTCGCCTGAAGTATGAACCTGCCTTCAACAATCCCATTTGTGCAGTATTGCCCATCGGCTTCAAAAATGGGAGACTGAGATAAAATTCCTCACAAATGTGTTCACACAAACGAGATGACAAAAACGGGCTTCGTTAAGTCTGCCACCTTGCTAATTTTTTTCTGTGGAATTTTCCACAAATAGACTTTGAAAAAAACAATTATTGCATTCCAAACGGACCCCCTTTTATTCTGTCATGCCTTACCAAGGGAACCATTGTCACATACGAAGTTTGTTACAAAAATACTCTCTTTGAAAAATTACATTTAAGCGAGCATGACACTTAATTTTTTTCTTGTACATGCACAGCGACTGCAAATCTTACTTGGACAATAAACGTTAAAAGCGAAATTGCAAGAAGAAATTTTCCAGCAAAGATGAAAATCCAAACGAGTTTTCTGTGAGATTAATCGAAGCCAACAGACTCAAAGGTCTAGCTGTTTTCCGAATGGATTCCGTGTAAACAAACCTAAACCTGCACGAAAGGCTTTCAGGAGCAACTTCTTAATTGTTGCTGAAATAATATTATTTCAAATCACAAGTTAGAAAAGGGTGATTATTTCTGTTTTTGCCGAAGCTGTAAAGGGAAAAAACACTCGAGCCCACTGGACACGTTTCTTGACGAGACTGCACTATCTTCAAATGTAAAATTTCGTAAACTGTCACATTAGACCTACTTAAAATACAAATTGAACTAAGCTGAAACTTTTTGATGTTTTTCCTGTACAATACGCACCACAAATCTGTGAGATTTTTTCAAAAGGAAACAGCATCGATAAAAGATGATTTGATTATATTTCTTGATTATAAAAATTCCAGGACCAATTCTCGAAAATTGAACGATTTTTCAACCTTCCATGTGCCGGAAGAGGCACAAATGTAAACACTGTTGCAAAAATGGAGTTTCACGTGGGCACCGCAAGGGAAAAATTCGGAAGAGGGAATGGCAGCATTTTGTTCTCATCGGTCGGAGCCTTAGCCTGCAACCGCCGAGTCTGTTGTCTAGAGCTTGGTCTAGGTCTTAGCGCGTTCAGTCGTAGATAAGCAGGGACACGCTGACAACAGACGTAGCCGTAGCTCTGGAAGCCGGTTTCGGATACGGTCTTTTAGCTTTCTGATTGTTAATAGATATCATCTGCAGCGCCCTCTTCTGGGAAAACGTCTTCCACAAAGAGTTTTAACAATTGTTCTTTTCTGGTGTATTACAATGACCCAGTTCGGTATTCTAACAGCGCATACCCATCACGGGTATTCGGTAACAGCTACGCGCGCGATAGTCTGTCCTATCAGCGCAGCCATACGCTGACTCGCGTGCGCTGTGTTCCCGAAAGACCCTGGCCTTTTGAAATACCGACCTGGCTCATTGTTTCTGCCGAAATGTATAGACCCCTGCCACTTTTTAACAAACACACATTTAGTGGATAATCGAATAATTCATTCTGGGAGACGTGAAACGGCTGCGGCATCTGCAGCCACTGTACACAGGCTAGGCGTGGTCACAGGTCACAGTCGGTAGATTAGTTTATAAGACGCGGCTTTTCATAATCAGCAAGGGGTTTTGTTATCAATCTTCAGTCAGGATCGTCTATTGGGATATAATGCTTGGGATATGGTATCTATTTATATCAGTGTTCACGTGGAGTGGACGATTTTATTTGTGGCATACAGATGAACAACGTTCGAGGCCGTGAGGATTTCCAGTCCATTTACTCAACTTCCTTTCCGTCTCCGGCATGGTCCGATTTTAAACGCCTGAATGAATTTTCATCAATTCACAATAGTATACAGGCGTAAAAACGGCGTCGTTGACAGAGACAAAGCCCGAGACACGGGCACGAAACCGAGATTTCGACCACCCCACGGCCACAAACTACCTGTTCTAGACACAGATTGGCATCGAGGATGGCCGACCGAAAAGAATTATGGGACACTGGCAAGTATTTGTTGATTTCCCGTGCTTTTCTTATATCACAGGAAACCTTAGAAGATATTAAATGGGTTACAATGGATGGCCTTTATATACTTGGAAAAATGGAACTGCCCAGGGATGGATTATCCAATAGGCACAGCAGGTCCTGAAAGCCTTGGACCTACAAAAAGTCGGAAGCCTGAGAGAAAACGAGCGTCACTCTCTTTGGGACTCTCTACTACGTACCTTGGTACTGCTTATATAGCATCCACATGGAAAACGGGGCTCCTGCTCTATGAAATACTGATGCCTATAAGGTCTATGTGGAACACTTAATCCGGCCTTGAAACCGCTCACTCTTTCTGAACAGACCGTTCTTGTTTCTCTCGTCTGCATTGACACGAATGGGTTGGTGGTGATATCTAGCCTGTAACTGGAACGCTATCCAATGGATGTCTCGTTTTGCAGAGTTCCTAATTACCCCAGGCAGGTCACCTGCGTCAATCCTGCAGCGTGTGCCACATGGCCACCGGTTTCCTAGGGGACTGGGTCATGTCGTTCCAGTGTGTCTTGCCGAGTCCCGAGCACTCCTCGCCCACCAAGACCATGCCCATCTTGCCGCTCTGGCCAAGAAGATCATAGTCCACCACCATTATCTGTGGGGGAAACGATTGTAAACCATTCACGCGAAAAATCAATCCATACAGTCTGCGCTTATTCGACTCCGAGGTACACAATTACCTTCTTAAACTACCAGACCTGAATGACAGTATTCGGAGAAACCTTAGTTCTTCAACTATTTCAATAACTTTTGCTGGCCTTAAAATCCATTCAACCATAGCTACCAATTTCATCCTCGTTTTATGTCAGCACATTACAGCGAGAAATACAAAATAGGTCAAGGAGAACCAATATGAAGGATGGTAACGAGAATGCAATTCAACTATCCAAGGTATCGTGTCTTCTTCAAGGCTGTAAATAACAGAATTTGTTAAATTACCTCCAAGCAACAGGTTTTAAGAGCAGACGCCGGCACGTTGAAGATGATGGCTTCGTTCCACACCGGATCGCACGAGTTCTTTTTAACTGTCGTCTTCTTCTTCTTGAATCTTTTGCCTCCTTGTATGAGAGTTACCTTGACGAATGGATCTGAACGCCAATGACAATAACAAATCACACGAGTTCATCCTTTGGTGCAATTTTAACGGCTCAATGATGCCTTTTTATAAATAGAGACATTGCTGCCGCAAGAAAGCTATTTCGTTCGGTGAAAGCAAGATCCAAAATGGTGATCATATCAGGAAGCGAATGACTTGACCACGACTGGAAACAACACTTGTTCATCGGTATTTATCCCAGGAGGGCGCTTTGAAGCCTTCTTGAGCTTAACGGCTGTGCATACCAGCGAACGCATGTTCGTGAAGGAACAAATATTTGCTGCTAACAGCGCCCTCAAAAGCCTGATCTACAGCAGCAACTGACAGCGAAGACATAGCACTTGCTCCGACTGCTCTTACAGAGCGCTGGAAAGGACAGCTGTTTTAGGAAGCATGCCGTCATTTTGTCCAGCACCCATCGACACTTTCACGTGGGCATGACACTGGATGAAATGCATTGATAGGATGCAGTTAACCCACGGTTAATGCTGTGCGCGACTGTAACTACTTCCTTCAGAGAATTTTGTGAAGGGCATTAGTGAGCGCCCTCAATGGCAGTGGGAATGGACGGGCAATGTGATGACGTTCGCTCGTCCCCGGCTTCGGGTTTTTCTTTTTAATTACCCAAGTGTCTGGGGGTACACTATGTACTTAACCGTTGGGTTCCCCCAGCATGTTTAGTCAAAAGAATCTCGCACCCTCAGCCCGCCTCTTTCGCAAAATTATGTTGAGGAATATGTGGCTTGCTTCCTTAAACACCTACACTCAAGGCGTTCGTGGCATGCACACATGCAAAAGTCGACCACTGTTCAAACAAATTCTACCCAATGACAGTTTGAGAAAATTACGTCATGCACCTTAAGAATTAGCCTATGCCTATCCCAGTACCACACATGGCCGGTGAGTAAGGGCCAGTTTCGTTCATGGTCAGCAGGATATAGGAAGTATAATATGTATTTTCTATTTACCAGCACTACCACTGATGTCCATGGTTTTCAAATTCCGCGCCTTCATGATGACAATCGTCAGGCGCTCTGCCGTCGGAAGATAGCTGAGAGAGAACAGCAGATCACCTAAACTGCCGTGCCTCTGGAAAGGAAGGAATGCATCCTTATGAATTGATAAAGCGTCTGTTGCTACATGTACCGAGAAGTGTACGGGTATAATTGTGCACCCATGCACATATGGCAATCTAAATACGCTTGATCACTTGCAGGGAACGGTGAATAATTTAGGACGTCCAAGTTATAAATAACATCCTTTCGTGGATCTACATATGTATTTAAATTTAGGGCAAGGGTTCACGCCTGTGATGTATTTTCGTCTCGGTCAGTTTGAGCAGGTCTGTGTATTCAAATCGTGCACCACGAAATGACTTTATGACCATATGCATGCATGCAGAGACACAAGGCAAATATACTCACCGCCTGGGGATCCTCTAGGTCGCTCCAGACATCGACTTCCCGAGACACGTCCAAGTCGGCCAGGGTGATGGACACTTCCCCGATGGCATCGTGTCTGGAGAACTTGTCAAAGTCGTAGACGTTCATCCGCAACGTCTTGGCCTGGGTCTCTTCAAATGTCATGGGGAACTTAAACCTCTCGTTGAATGTGGGATTCAGAGTTTTCCTCTGAGGAAAACAAGACGGACAAGTAAATTGACACTGAGCTGCTAACGCAGAGTTATGAGCGATTTCCCTGACCCGGGGATGTTCTACAGGCTGTCAAGGCAGGAAATGGAATTGACACCTTGGATTGTTAGAAACGTTCGAAACTCAGTTCTTTGCCAGAGGAAATGGCATATGCCTACACTTTGAAGATTTTTCCTGTTGGTATTCAGGATTGAGATTAGTGGATCAAAAGAAATCCGTGAAAAAAATAGCAAAAAGGTTGCTACAGTGACAACAATTTGGCCTTTTTAGGGCTTTTAATAACTAACACGCCTTGAGTGGCATGAAGTCTCTCCAAAATGGACATTTCGATGTGAACGTTCCATGCACACGATTTTCCAAACCTCAATAATGGAGCCTCCAGAAATCCAGATGTGTTGGGTTTAAGAGTCTCAAATCTGGGAAACTCATGTGAGATCACGCCCCTTCGGTTGTGCATAACCGGCAGCATCAGCCAAAGAACTCATCTCCGGAGATAAATTTGGTCAGCCCTTGTGCGAAATGCATCTAACAGGTCGGCTCATGAATCTTTTATGGAGGACGATGTTGTATATTTACTTGTATGGAAATTTCATTCACTCTCAGCATGATTTTGCAACTCTCCGCCTATATGGAGTTATATATAACTCATTATTTATGAGTTCGTTGACTTAAGATGCATGCATTAGACAGAAACCGAACTTTGAATGAAGATTAACAATGGATAAAGATTAAGAAATGGGCAACAGACCTTATTCGTGGCAAAGCCATTTTCGATCCTGTTCCCCGAATCTTTCACATTCAATATAATCTGTTAAATGGGGGTGGTACCAGACTATTTTGGGTTCAAGGGCCGTTTTCCAATACTCGACTTGGGCTCCGTCTCAGGCTTAAATGTTTAATTGCTTTTATTTTTACTCTCAGGTTCCCACAGTGAAAAGTTAACCTCACTTTCAAGATGGCCGACTCATAAATAGAGTCTACTGGAGAGTTTCATATTCACGACCTCTGTGACAGACATAATGGGTGCGTTCGCGCGGTTACTCCTGTCAACATGAGTAGGATGCGTGTGCATTACACTCGGGTGCAGGAGTATACTCCACCTCTAGCGAGAGCATACTCTCGCTGACCCGCGGGTCGTACTCCAGCCGTTCGAGTGCCCAGGAGTAACACGAGTAGCTCGATCGGACGCAAACAATACGAGCGTACACCAACTGGCAAGAACGAGGTGAGCAACATGAAGCTTTAACAGAGTGAGGTCCGGAGATCGCTTAAATAGGGACACCCGGCAAATCTCAGGGCCCAAAATTTAGAATCCATACTCTTTTGAGCAATACAGGGCTTTCAGCAATTTTAAATTTTTTTTCTTCTCAAATTTTCCAATACCTTACAGAAGAAACATACGGCGACAGTTAGGGAAGACACCAGGCCTGGAGGCAATCCCTTTATCTCGGTTCATGCTTGAACAGGACAAAATAAGCGGCATGTGACTTGGACACAGAAGTGTTGTATCCCAACGAAATAATATACGGGAATCCTTTAAAAAAACTCTCGACTTCAATTCCCAACTTTAAAGAAAAGGGGGAAAGCATACATGATAATTTCACTCAAATTGCCGGTTGTGTCCAACCCCCCCCCCCAAAAAAAAAGGCTCATCAATAACCTGTGGATATGGACCTGACATTTGTCGATATTCACGGTCGTCTTTAAAAGATTTCGCAACAAAAGCCTTCAAAACCTCTTTTTCTTCGTCTGATGTTCAAGCAAAGCTAATTTGGCACCGGTTCCTGACACAAACGCACACATACTCTGGGCAATCTATGCCGATACACAGCCTAGCCCTAGCCCTAGAAAGCTTTACAGAAAGGCAACTTAGGGGCGTGTCGTAGGGCAGATGCTGCACGTACCTGAACGTTTGACTGTTTAATCCTCTTGTCACGGTCTGGTTCTAAGGACAGTTTGACATACGGATCGCTTGTCCCGCCGAAATCCATTGCAGGAAGATCCTCAGCTGTACCAAAGCAGCAAAACACGTCACACGTATAAACATATCAAACGTTTATCTTTTTAGGTGGCGTAGAAATAACAGCAATTTTAATTCCACACTCTAAAAATTCCTGGGTCAGATTGACCCAGGATTGGGTCCCATTCGGCATGACCCTTTTCCAGGTCAAAGTTTGACCCAGAAAGGGTCAAATATGACCCGAAAGGGGGTCATATTTTTACCCACAAAAGGGTCACACCGAATGGTATCCAATTCTGGGTCAATCTGACCTGGAGTTTTTAGAGTGCATACTTTATGCTAACACCCTGCGCTGGCTGTAAAAAAATTTCAGAAAAGATGATTCCGGATCCGCCCTTAACAATAAGGGAACCCGGTAATAAGTTGCTATTAAAGGCATCCAGACAACGTTTATCAGATTGTGATCACATTCAACATACGTTATGTAGTCTCAAATCGTGCCACAGGTTGTTCAAAATTAAAGAAGGCAAAGTTTTAATCTTCAGTTCTCTTCGGCCCGTTATTTGAGAAGCGACTTGGTGTTGACTGGATCACTACCATAGGCCTACGTACCTTCGATGAGTCGCACCACAAAATCCGACGTGTTGAAGTCGTACTTGAGCTTGACGTGCAAGCGTCCGCGGTTGCATTTCTTCTTGGCCGTGTCGGCGCCACCCTCGGCCTCAGCGCCCTTCAGCACCACCACCTCGTTGGTCCGCGCGTAGAGCTCCGGCTGGACTGCGCCGATGTCCGACTCGAACGACCCGCCGATGCTGGATTCGCTCGTCAGGCTGCGCCGGTCCGCCTCGCTGGGCGGTCCCAGCGAGTGCCGGGAGTGCGAGAGCTGGCGGAGGTCGGGCCGCGAGGACCCCAGGGGGGTCTGAGTCTGCATGGCGACCACGCCCGGCTGGACGGGCACTCTCTCCGATGGGATGTAAAACTCCTGTAGGTTTGATAAGCACACGAAATTAAGCAAGGCTTGGTAGAATCAAGGCCCTTTATAAAGTAGTGACCTCTTGAGAACGCCATTTAAGTTCCAAAGTTCTCCCCAAAGGCGCCCATTAGGGAAATTAGATGCATATTTGCGCGGGCAACAATACGAGCGAGTCGTAATAGTGCGCCCCCAATAGTTTGCAACGCCTAGGCCAATCACGATGCGCGAATTTTGTCGACCCAAGGTGCGTTTGGAAAGGGTTGACAGAGTTCGCGCGTTGTGATTGGCCAACGTGTTGCAAACTCTTGGAGGCGCACTATTGTGAATCGCCCGTATTCAGTTATCTTTGATTGCCCTTTTGCTGTTTTTCGATCGACTGGTGCATTCCCACGCAAAGCAGCCTACACTTCGGAAAAATGCATCTTAAGTGAGACGTCGTTTCTGGAGTCTGAAGTTTGCGCTACTCTCTATACACAGCTCTGGGTAGAACCACAGCTGCATCCAGAGAGACTTTGGCTGTTGTTAATGTGTGCAGTACAGCCTCCGACTATTGGGTGCTAACTGTCCATGTGCACTGGCGTATAATCCACCATTTTGGTTCCAGCGAGTGAGACACTCTTGTCGCAACTCTCTCTATAAACAGCTCAGTAGAACGATGCAAGAGCGCCCCAGTATTATAATGAAAGAAGAAAAGGAGGAGAGAGAGAGAGAGAGAGAGAGAGAGAGAGAGAGAGAGAGAGAGAGAGAGAGAGAGAGAGA